ACTGTAAGATTTTGTCATTCCTTGACAACTATTCTGCACTTTTCTCCAAATGTGACTTCATTAATTCAGTCATGTAACCAGGTTATCCTTAGATCAATATAGTGTAAATATAAAACCACTTTCTTGAACAGGATGATAGCAGGAATGTACAGAGACATGAGTGTGGAAGGTTTTCAAAAGTTTATTTTGAAGAATGCCATATATGCTGTTGCCAGGTTAGAAACACAGTGACTAAAGACACAGTTTTGCATGCCTAGCACCACCTCTGACTTGTGACTATGTTTCAGTGATGATGGTGAACAACATGATGACTTGGAAGGATTCTGTAGGTCAAGTTAGAAAAAAAATGGTGAACTCTTAACATACGTAAAAATGTACTTTCAAATTCTGTCAGCTGGAAAAGTAGATATCAAAGTTGAACATTGGTAATGAGACTCCAGTTGTTCACTCATTGGTGATGAAATAGCCAAAACGATTCTGAATCAAAGTGTTCATGGTAATAGTGGTGATGAAGATGATGTTGTTAACACTGCAGAAAAAATACCTGTAGATGACATGGTGAAAATATGTGATGGACTTATTGAAGGACTAAAGCAACAAGTGTTCATAAAAAACAAGAACCATGTCAGTTTATAAAATTAAGGAGTGACTTTTAAGACAAAATGGTTGTTAATGCAGCAGAGGACTCTGGAGGAAACATTTTTTAAAAGCCATCCAGCAGAATGTCTCTTCATCCCTATAGGACCCATTTCCTGGTTCCTGAACTTCTCCTGGTGTTTCTTCTCACCTACAAAAAATAAAATACAGTGTACAGTAACCTTTTAATCAAATCACAGTATCATAAGTGGAAAATAAAAGCCTGCCGGTGTTTGTTGCTGTTATTTAACAGTGGATACAGGTATTTTGGTGATGCTACTGAGCGATAGTTACCCCGAACACATTGTTTTTTCACTGGATTCGTTGTATGCCTTTTTTTATTGTTAAGTACTTATATGTGAATAAATGTAAGACAGTGATAGAATATACATTCAGAGTCAGGAAAAATGGTGATGCCAGATAACAGATTGTCCACATGGATGACTGAGATAGTGACACCTTTACTTTCTGATGGTTCAATGTACACAAATTTTGCTCTATGCACAAAATTATTAAAAATGTATGAAATTATCTTCAGGCTACATGTGTAAGGTGTAATGAAGCGTAAATAAATCTTGTGTTTAAACTTGGGTTCTATTCTCAATGTATCTCATTATGTACATGGAATTATTCCAAAATCTGGAAAAAAAAATCCAAAATTAAAAACACTTCTGTTCCCAAGCACTTTGGATAAGGGCTACTCAACCTGGTAAGTCTAGTGCTACTGTCTTGATTCATTCTAAGGCTTCAGTGGTTGTACTCACCATTGCTTTTGCACTGTCAGTGCAAATAGCCACAAAGTGAAAAAGGCAAATACTGTCTTAGTATTATTACTACAGTTTTGTCATTATGGATCCCTTGAAAGGTTTTTGAGTATCTCCAAAATCTGTGGAACAGAGTTTGAGAACTACTGCTATATTCCACTCATTGACTGGTGTGAATCCCTGTGAGAACAGGTTTATTCTGATGGGGTAAGGAGTGTTAAAACTTATTTAAAAGTAGTTGTGCATTCCAATAACAAAAACTATTTGAAAAAAGATGTCTTGATTAATAATTTTATGGCCTACAGGAAACCTTGGCTTATTTTTACAGTAGATTTCAATGTTATCCCATGCTGCTTCTTCCTTCACCAATATACAAGTCATTTTTCTTCACTGTCAACCAGACAGGCAGATGAGAGAGACAGGCATGGTTTCGTTGCTAATAGTTCTTGATTCTTGAATGTGAAAACAGGTAGCACAGTCATCTAAACTTGAACCTCTCTGAATTGTACCAAGTAAAACAGCTAAAAGAAGTAAAACAATGGGGCAATGCTTGTGGAATGTACAGTGCACGTTGGCAGCACAGGCCTCATCAAGATTTGCATAATTGCTTCTCCTGTTCAATCATTTATTCTGAAGGTGGTGGAGTTTTATCTTGTGTTTTTGTGCTCTTGAATTTTGACTTATTGAACTTCTCGGTCTCAGCCATATTGTGTTTGCCAGACATGGTCACAAAAGAAGGGGAGCAAGGTGTATGAGTGAGCAAAGTCTATGCAGTGGCTGAGTGTAAAATTGGTCCTTTTTTTGTTCAACTTTACTTCTAGGTTGTGGCCCTTTGGGCCTTAAAAGCCTAGGTATTTACCACAAGCCTTATACCTTGACAGGCTTTGAACTCCAATTGTTGTTTATCAAAAGTCCACTTTACTTCTTACCTAGGTATTGGGAATAGGCAAATAACTCAAGTGGAAGATGCTGGACCTACATTCTGGCTTTTCCTTTTCTTCTGGATCCTAGCACCATGAATCCTCACTTCTTATTAACTCTTTAGCATCAGCATATAGATTTAAAAAAATATTATGTTCAGTATTTCTAGTTGTTCTCAATAAGAGGTTTGGTCCAAACCATCAAGACTACCATTGCTGGCAGCCTCTAGGCATTAAATTGTTTCTTGTTATATTTTTTGTTAGGTTATTTTATGCTTTTTGTAAAAATAGAATAAAATAAAAGAATATGGACATACAATTTAAAATAGAATAAAATAAAAGAATATGGACATACAGTAATGTCTATGTCCTTAACATATCTTCCCATTCTCTTTAAATTCCTAGCCTTCTGCAAAGAACTTGGTGTATGTCCTTACTATTTTCTTTATACATTTAGACATATATTTTTACAAATATTACATTTTTTAAAAATTACGAATGAGCTTATGCTATATTTTTACGTAATTTCTTTCTTATTGAGCAATTTTTACTTTTTAGTAAACTCAATGATAAATAACAGTAGTTAACCTTTTTCAAGTACTAACTGTGTCAGGCACAGTCCTAGGTATATTAATGCATTATTTCATTTGATCTTCACAGCAATCTTGTGAAGATAAGTATTATGTCATTTTACAGATCAGAAAACTGAATTTTAGTAAGGTAAACTACACCTCCTCAAAGCCACACAGCTGTTAATTTATAGGGTCAGTGGAAAGCCTGAATGAATTAACTAATCTTTGTGAACATTTTAATACTATCATATTTCTGAAATGTATACTAAAATATATCATAACACTCATAAAATGCCTTTCAATCAGTGGTATATATATGCCTTATACTATTGTACATTTCCTAGTTTTGATATTGTACTATAATTATATCAGATGTAACAAACTGGAGAAGCAAAGTAAAGGTTATAGGAGCCAACCTATACTGTCTTCTTAACTTCCTCTGAGTCTATAATCATTTTAAAAATAAAAAGTCACAAAAACTTACATACTGTATGACTCCTTTATATACAATTTTTGAAATGACAACACTATAGAGATGGAGAAAGATTAGTGGTTGCCAGAGGTGGTGGAAGGGAAGAGAGATGGGTATGTCTTCTAAGAAGACAGCACAAGGGATCTTTGTGGTCATGAAACAACTCTGTATCTTGACTATGGCAGTGGTTATACCAACCTGCACATGATAAATTATGTATACACACACACACACACACACACACACACACACAGGTATGCATGTAAAACAGATGAAATCTGAAAAAACTGGGGAGTTTTGTTAATTTCCTGGATTTGTTATTGTACTATAGGTAGGCAAAATATTAACACTGGAGGAAACCGGATGAAAAGTACAAGAGACCTCTCTATAGTATGTTTGATACTTCCTGTGAATCTACAGTTATTTCAAAAGAAAAAGAAAACAGTATTATTTAGCAATTACATTAAAATATCTCAAAAAAACAACTTCTGGCAAATGTTGATTTATCATAATATTGTAAATTACCCAGTAGACCTGAATTGTCTGGGTTAGAAATCGTTGGGATTTTTTTTAACAGTAGAACCAAACTTTTCAAGAGTTTGTAATATTGAAGAAAAGGGATTGGTGAAGGTCAATAAATACAAATTGCTTTCAAGAGTCAACTAAAATTCTGAATTGAGTCGTTGGAAATGAGGGAATCAAGTTTTCCTCTTTTGAGGATAATTAATCTTTTTTCTTTTTTGGTTAAGGTTGATTTCACCAACTTTAAGGTTCTTCCCACTGGAAAACAATATATTAAACAATATATGGAGAGAAATAACAGCTAAAATTACCAGGTTATTACTACCCATCAGGCACCATTTTAAGTTATTATGCCTTTAAACACATTTTAATTTCAGAATACTTTGCTGCAAGTTTTCTAATATTCCCATTTTATTGTTGAGGATAGATTCAGTTGTTTCACAAGTAGTAATGTAACAGGTTAGAGTTTCAGCTGTACCTAAATTTCCAGACATCTTTTAAGTCGCATACCTTGAACTTTAATAACATTTCTTCAATTCCAAGAGTATTGTCTTAATTCTAGTCATTAGCGTTAGTCTGATGGCCATTTGCTCTACTTATTGGATCATTTGCTCATCTGCTCTATTTTACTCACAAGGAAGAAAATGGAAGAAGCGACACTTTTGGAAAGCGTGATTTCTTTCCTTGAGTTCAAATAACAGGAGTTAACTTGAGAGAGAAAAACTAGGAAATATACAATTTGAAACAAAAAGGAAGGAATGGATATTTAACTTATCACAGTTTCTCTAACATATATGCTGATAACAAAAATATCTGATCTTTGAAGACTTCACCTTAAAGCCCTAATCTTATATTGTTTTTATAACCCAAGCGACATGGCCTGGGGAAACTCCACAGTGGGGAAATTGGCAGTGAAGATAGGGGGAATGGTTAACTCGCAGGCTACACTGGGGTAACACAAGCAAGAGGGAAAGAAGATCTCCGGTAAACACCCAAGAGCGAGGGTTCTAGGACTTCCGCGAAGGACCCAAAGGCTGTCGCGCGAGGACTTCTGGGAGGCAACTCGAGGCACGTGTGCTAGTACTTCCGGGCACACGGAGGAGCAGTTGCTCCCCACACTCCTCTGCTGCAGTAGCCTTGGGAGCTTGGAGTCCGTACGGTCCTATGTGATGGCGTCTCGGTACGACAGGGCCATCACTGTTTTCTCCCCAGATGGACACCTCTTTCAGGTGGAATACGCCCAGGAAGCAGTGAAGAAAGGATCCACTGCGGTGAGTGAGCAACTTCCGACTGCCGCCCCCTGTTACCTCTTTACCTCTAGGGCCTCCCTGACCTCACCACCCCAGCCCACAGCTCTGGCCTACGGGTCAAAAGGAGATCGCCACACTTGTGAAAATTGCTCTGTGCCTTTTATTGAGGGAGGTGCTGCCTCTGAGATTTGGGCTGGAAGTGGTGGGGTAGAAGTTGGTAGGTTTCCTCTGTTTCTGTTGTGCAACTGCCATTATTTAAGGGTAGCTACAGATACAAAACTAGGAAGTGTGTGTGTGTGTGTGTGTGTGTGTGTGTGTGTGTGTGTGTGCGTGTGTGTTTATGTGTACATGTGCATGGGCATGCAGTACACTTGACTCTAGAAGAGATATTAACTCTGTGTCTGACATAAGGAAACTTTTCTAGTCTGTGACAGCCTGCCCGAATTCTCATGGCCCAGCTCCTCAAGAGTTAACAGAGCCCATTAACTTTTTAATTTTTATAGATCACTAAGATTATTGAATGTATTTAAAATTTGGCAGGAATATTACCGCCACCCTGAGTCTTTGAAAAGTTAAAAGTTAACAAGTTAATTGGAAAGTTAAAAGTTAACTTTCTAGTGTTAGTTTTTTGCCACTTTATATTTGATAGATTTATAACGTTTATAGAATTATATCCTTCAATAGCAAAGTTGGTATGAAAAGTGGGAGAAAATATAGACACTGGTAGACTTAGAAATGCAGAGTTAAAAGTTGATTAAAAAGTTAACAGTTCCAGCCGGGCTCGGTGGCTCAGCCTGTAATCCAGCGCCTTTGGGAGGCTGAGGTGAGTGGATTGCCTGAGCCCGCGGGTTCGAGACCCGCCTGGGCAGGCGAGACCTCATCTCTACAATAAAATTAAAAAATTAGCCGGGCGTGGTAGCGTGCGCCTGTAATTCCGGCTACTTGGAAGGCTGAGGTGGAAGGATCGCCGGAGGCCAGCAGGTCGAGGCTGCGGTGGCCGGGAGCGGCCACTGCACTCCAGTCTGGGCGACAGAGTGAGACTCCAACTCAAAAAAAAAAAAAAGGTTAACAGTTCCAGCAGACAGCAGACTCTCACTGATGTCCTGTCCATCGTGCCCTTCCCTATGTAGCTTCCTTTTAATAAATCTACCTTTCTTAATTAAAAAAAAAGTTAACAGTTCCTTCATGTTGGGAACTGTTGTTTAATAACAATTGTAATAAAAATGAGCTATGCCTGCCACTGCAATATGGTCTAAATCAATGTAAAAGTAGACCAGGCACTGTAGCTCTTGCCTGTAATACCAGCACTTTGGGAGGCAAAGCGGAAGGATTGCTTGAGCCCAGGAGTTCAAGACCAGCCTGGGCAACATAGAGATACCTTGTTTCTACAAAAAATCAAATGGGTGTGGTAGTGCACGCCTGTAGTCCCAGCTACTTGGGAGGCTAAGGTAAGAGGATCACCTTAATCTAGGAGTTGGAAGCTGTGGTAAGTGGTGATCGTGCCACTACACTTCAGTCTGAGCAACACAGTGAGACTAGGACTCAAATAAATATATATATCTCCATCCTTATTGATGAGGAAATTATTTAAAAACATTAATTCAAATATACCCACTAAAAATAATATTCCCAATATTTAGCAGCCTTTTTGAGGCTCAAAAGCTCAAGAATTTCCATTTATTTTTCCCATTAAAAAAAAAAAACTGTTGGAAGTTCCTTGAGAGATTATACCCTACTTTAGACTTGTACATCCACATTACTGAAAAACTTTCAAATACTGAGGGTAGCAGTAATATTCCTGCCAAATTTTAACTGCATTCAATAATCTTTGTGATTTATAAAAATTAGAAAGGACAAAGGTGCCCTAGTAACCCATGATCTATTACCCCAAATCTTCTAAGTCCTGTCTGATGAATTCAGAGGATCTAATTTTTTTTAATCTCTCAAATTTCATGAGCGTGTTTGTTGTGTATTTTGGAAATTGAGACAGTAGCTATGAGAATACACAGTGCATTTCTAAGTCTAGCAATGTCTGTATTTTCTCTTATTTTTCGTACCAACTTTGCTATTGAAGGAAATAATTCTATAAATGTTATAAATCTATCAAATATAAAATGGTAAAAACTAACACTAGAAAGAAGAATCATTTCTTAAAGTTTTTTTTTTTAATTGGGCCCACTAGTTTTGCTTCTGTTTTATAAGTAATTTTTTTCGAATTGTAAATTTAAGGAAAGCCTGATGTAGCTTAAACCAAAAGGGTACCATTTTGATAAAAACAAAAGTTATATAATCCCCAGCATGGCATGTAGCATATGGTTAGAAAATAATGCCCAAGTTTTAGAGCATAAAATAAAGGGAGTAATGGGAGAAGACTGGGGTGTAATAAGAAACCACATTGGCTCATTTAACATTTTTTTAGAGTGCTATAGAACTGATTGATAGTGCCTTTGTAATGAACGGTAAAAGGGTAAGGATATAAAAATACCTATAGTGGGCATTTTTAAAGATACATTGGAAGGATGAGACACTTTTGTTTCAGGATTCTGAAATTTAAATTTGCATGTTTGTATGGAGTTATTCATTGTGTTTCCTTGAGGGTACTATGACCTTTTACATAGGGTAAAGTTTTTAATGACACTTATTTATTAAAATATGTCACAAAATATTCTGTCTATAAATGATAATTGATATGATTATTTGTAAATAAGCCAACATTGACCGGTTTTGACCAGTATGTAGATGTAGGTATTATTTAGTGATATAAAAAGTTATACGGACCACATTTAGATGCCCTGGCTTCTGCTTCCTTTTTGATTATTTTACAACATGAAGTGAGACAAGAGGCCTGTTTTCTTTTTGCTTCAGTTCCCTTTTCTATAAATGCAAAATATGTTTGAATAACATTTTGGAGAAGTAATACCTTTCTTCTTGGGGAAAAGAAATGAATCCTTCACAATATTCCCATGAAAAAGATAAGATTTATTGTCATTCCTCAACTTGTCCTTTCCTTGACCTTAGATTGTTGCTGGCTCAATATTTTCTACTTTATCAAATTTCACCTCCAGAATCTAGCCATCAAAGTCTTCCATAATCCTATCCACACTCCTAGTTTAGGGAGTGCCTTCTTGGTTTTACTAATACATGCTTCTGCTTAGGGAGAGAATATGGGGTAGGAAGGAAAACATCTTTCTTTCTGTTGCTGTGTATCTTATTTATCTTTAAGAATCTCTGTACATTTTTTCCCATTGTGAAGCCTTCCCTAATCCAATCATTTTTTATTTTCTAAATTTATAATAAGAACCACAGAGTATTTTACAGTATTTACTACCTAGTCTCACCTTGGCTTTAATTTCAGATATATCTAATAATCTCACACCAATTGGATAGTAAGATTTTTGAGACTCTGAGATGGCATAATTTTTTCTTGTATTTCTGCCACACAATATACAGTGGAAGGTCTAGGAAGGAAATAACTAGCACTTAAGCAACAATTTTACCAGGCATTTTATGTACATTATCTAACATTAAGGATAGTGTTTAATTCCCCCCCCTTTTTTTTGTATGTGAAACTGTGATTCAGAAGCCTTTATAGCTTGCTGAAAGTACTTAGCCAGAAACTGATGGAACCAGTATTTGTATTTAAATCTTTCTAGTTCCAAATCCTCTGCTCATTGCATTGTATCATGAAATTTGCTCAATATAGATTGTATATCAATTGGATGTCATCATGAATGTGGAAGCAAGATATGTATCATTTAAAGCATTTAATTTCTCTAAGCTTCCATTTCTTTACTAGTAAAATAGGCATCAAAATAACATCTGCTTCATAAAGTTGTTCTAAGAGTTAAATGAGGTAATAAGGCATGTTAGCATCTTACACAGAATCTGGTTCGCCAAAAGTACTTAATAAATTGTAACTATTATTATTTTCCATTCTATTGTTTTCTCTTTTTCCTTCAATTGTATCTACAGTTCTTCCCACATGTTCGTTTATTTCAAGGTATTTTTGTTGAACACTTACATATGCCAAATATGGTGTTCGACCATATGGCTTCCCTATGAACAAGACAGACTCAATTCCTGTCCTCAGAGAGCTTACCATCTAGCAGGAAAGGTCAATGATTAAGTCAATAGTCCTAGAAAAACCTAAATGAATATTATAATGGGGAAGGAATGGGGGCATTTATGGGAGCTTTAGGTGTTAGAGAGGTCCCCATGAGGAAGTAATATTTAAATGGACAACTGAAAGATGAAAGGTGGTAAAGGGAAGAAGTAAATGAAAGGGCAAAAAGTGAAGAGTATTTTACACAAAGGAAATAGCTTGTGGGAATACATAGCAAAAGATAGCTATGTTCTCTGAACTAAAAGATGTTCAGGATTGCTGAAACAATGAAAAAATAGAAAGAAGTGATGCTAAAAATTGATGCTAGATCATGGAATGCCTTTAAACCATGCAAGTAAGGATATACTTGGTCCTGAGGCAGTAAGAGGCCTTTGAAGGTTTTCAATGTGGTTATTGTCACTTTCCAGGTTATTGCTGTTCTGTCCAGACTGCATTTGTCCAATCACAGAAGTACTCACATGACTTAGAATAATTCAAAATTTCTATCCTCCTGACCACAGCAACGAGTATGTGTCTCAAATCTAGCCTATATAAGTCTATTATTAGAACTTTTCTACCTAGAGACAGTGGTAGCTTATCTTCTCTGGGAGAATAATTAGGATATGAATTCAAGCTCCTGGTGACCATGTTTTTCTATATCAAGAAAGTCTCTGCATAAAAGAGCAAAAGGCCAATATGCAAAGAATGAATATTGAAGTCCCTAGATCCTTTTGTCCCTTGTCCAGCTCTGTGATAGACAGTTTGCTTACTGAGAAATGGTCTCTAACCTATACACATTTTAAGTAGGGAAATGTCACATTCACATTTTCTTTTTTTAATTTTTGTCTTCATCATTTTATTTTCCAAAGATTTCTCAAACTACATTGTGGTCAGTGAATTGGATGAAATCAAAACTAGA